TATCACAACCTCTACGGCTTTAATGGACATTCAGATTCCCCCAATCTGTTATACATCTTGTCCCCATCATGTGTCTTTCCAGTTGTGTATTGGGTACAGACTCTGTATGATCCAGAGTGCACTCATAAGTATTATAATTAACAACCGAATTTGGAACTAACACATATGGGTCCTTTTAACGTATTCAGTTGCCGTAACTGGCTTGCATGTGATTTATATATTTATTGACCTGTTTTAGCAAATCTTCCATAAATCGTGGAAAAGGAGTTCTTGTGCGAAGATTGTTTTGCTCAGACTATTTCACTATGGTTTCTTCTGTGTACAGTCTGAGGATTCTGCACTGAAGGGCTTTAGCTGTTCTGCTCCCCGGATTTTGCAGTAGTATTAGAAACGACGTTTGTTTCCAAGGTCCTTGAATTTCTTCCTTGCACATGGGAATGTGAGCAGCTTTAAAGTTGTGCTCAGTTTTTCTCACTTAGATTCCGTCATTTGTAAATTTTTTAGACAGATAACTCACTAATATCATGGATGGTGATCAACCATGGCCGATCATAAGAAGCTCATGGTGCTCTAAATTCTTGTGAGTCGCTCAATGTTTTGTCTTCTCACTTCCATTTTTTTTCAATCTTAAACTCTTGCATATTCTTTGATTTGCTTCCTATCATTACCGTCTCCAAACCACATAAACTTTTGCGATTTTCTAGTTTTTGAAATTATGAGCCAGTTGAATCTAGACCACAATTGAAAACCTGGAAGCACTAGACGGCCGTTTCGTCCTGGTATGGGACTCCTCAGCAGTGCGCATCCACGATCCCGCCACACGCCGGGCTCGAACCCAGGACCTACTGGCTTCGCGCGCGAGCACTTAACCACTAGATCACTGAGCCGGCATCCAACGGTGTTAATGTCTAACTTCAACCAATCCACGAACTTGCGCCACCGTACGTATTGTTTTCAGTGAGTTGTTATCTCACAACAGACCGGTTGAACTCCACTGGTAACGGCTTCTCACTAGAACTTCAGGAGTTTATCCTGAAGTCAGTCATTAGTGAGCAGGTGAATATTATTATCAGAATGGGTTTTGTGGAGAATTTTAGAAATTTCACAGTTTTTGCTATTTTCTTCATAGCAGTGTGATATACTGAATGGATATTTAACCCACAATACAGAAGCCTTAACCATCTGATTTGCCTGTAACATAGAACAAGTGGAGACAGTGTATTCCAACAAGAAGCTATGAATGAAGCAATATTCATACACACCACAAACGTAAGAGAGTCTAACATCACAAAGGAGATAACTCCGATCCACCCATCTATGCGAAGCAGAACATTTTATTTAATTACGACTCATTATGGTCAGTTGAAACGTCACGAACCAGTGGTATTGATACTAATTTATTATGCAAACTACCTATTTAAATCGTGTTTGTGACGTTGAATTGGTTTCACTTCCTACGGACTAATCGTATTATAAGCAAAACTGGACATTTTGCTAGAAATGAGGCGTGCTAATGAGCCTATAAAATCAATAAAGTTAAAAATGAGCTGAAATAGTTTCGACAAAACGGTAGATGTCCATTTGTTTATCAGAAATGTTTTTCAGAACTGCATTTTAAAACCACACATAATCCTATACTTTCAGCTTATTTTTGAACCTCCTCCCTTTATGCAGTTGTTTGTCCATTCAAACCATATTTACATTTTTTCTTCAACCTATTAGAATGCTCTTGCTTGAAAAGTACCGTAATAATAGGAACTTAAATTAAGTAGTCACACCTTCACTATTTCACCACGAATGACTCTCTTTCAATAGGCATGAACTTCGTCTATCTTTTTTCTTTTCCTTCCTTTGTCTTAATCTCTTTTCCAGCCCCCTCAAGATATGCCGCCGATAAAGCATATGGAACAGCTGATTTCGTTCTGCGCCACCATTATTACCTCATATGTTCCAGAGAGAAATAAGGTCACGGTTTATAGAAGATCTCAAGCTTTCATGGATATATAGAGGCATTGGACTCCAACTATCCAATCCTTAAAGTTGAACACGATACAATCGGGAAAATAGATATTCATTATTTAACGCGGAGAAAATCCCAACGATGGGAAATGCGGGAAGACTGAACTGAATTAATTCGTATTGAACGGATAGCATGGCTTGGTCTGACAGGCTGGTTCATATTGAATACTACCTCATAACTTTTACTCATATCAAATACATTCTTCTATCTCCAGCTTAAGTGTGTTCATCATATATTGATGATTGTTAAGATGCGATCAGGTGGTGTAGATAATAATGTGACTTCAAATTATAACACCCGAGAATGGAAAGTTTACGACTAGTAATAATTGAAATGGAAACTTTGTTGGGCTTAGTTATAGAATCGTGTTTTAATGACTTCAACTTTCCAACTGAAATGGTGGACTTGAATCTGCCAGTGTCAACAATAAAGTCATGAATAGCAACATTGGATAAATACATTCGTCTTTGAAAATGAAGTGCATTACTGGAAGTAGAAAATATGGGTAGCGTACGTTTATTAGAATCATCCAAATTCATAGGATCCGACTCACAAATATTGGTATTATTCATGGCGAAACGAGCAGTAGTTTTACAAACCGACTTGATGTGTCCCATTTTATCACACTTAAAGCATTTAGCATAACGAGAGGCACATGAAACACGTGGTAAAAATTTATCACAGGATAAATATTTACCTAACCAGTACTCACTTATGTTATCCGTGTTTTCACAAGGATGAGGATGGTCAGTAATTAAACTCATATTTGTATGAACTTGAGTACTCATCAGATTAGGATAACTAAGCAATGTACTGGGATTATTGATGACTTGGAGAGTAACTACATGCACTGCCTCACAAGTAATACACGCAGTTCTAGCATCGTGGAAGGAATGCTGCGGCATTTGTAATAGCTCTCTTTCCTGATTTGGTATGTTAATTCCTGCCTCTAATTGATCTTTCATCTGCACATGCAGTTGATCACCAAAATCATACTTAAGGGATAATTTCTGCAACTCAAGGGTAACTTCTCTAACCTTTTGGTTGTCCTGTAAATCGTTTTTGAAATTTCGCCTTTACACAGCATTAGAAATTAGTACACTTTACATGATTTTGTAGTAGTTCTTTGATAGTTGCATAGAGATGTGAAACAGTCTCATCTGGGAATGCTGAAGTTTATAATAAGCTATAATCATCTTCTCCATTGAATGTGAGGAAATTAGCCTTCGTTTTATCATCCTTTACTTCTTTCCTGATCATGCACCAGAATACAAACCTTTCCATGTAATCCTCGAAATCGTCAGAATTTGAATGTACATTCAAAAACTCCATCACAGTATCTATCGCCACATCAATATAATGTTTATAATTATTCGAAATGACGTGCTTATTAAGAATTCCAGAAATAGTGCAATTTACAGCAAGTAGAACTAGAAGAACACAACTGAACATATTATATTTGGAATTCATAACCGGCGGACTATAAAATACAAAAGAATCATTATTTCGTACAAAAACCACATAATTACAAATTTATCATATTTTATCTTACACATAGTTCCCTTTATCATATTGAGAAGAGCAAGAAAAAAGATTCTAGCACAATAGAACCAATTCATTTTATTTCGTAGGTTCTCGTCAGCTGCTCACAATCTGTGATATAAAAAATCATAGTTACATGATGGGTTTAGATTACTTACATGAAAGAATTTGGTTGGACGTTATACTAAAGACATATTTGTATAGTATAGCAAGGGTTTAAATGAAATCAATACAATAAATATGGTAAATATATACCTTATGTGAAAGAACATTCTACAACATTGATTGTGTCATTAGTTCAAACGGCTAGAATCAAGTGATTACATAATGAGTAAACATAGTGGAGCTCAGTTGATGGAATAAGATTACTAGTTTGGGAGATGGTTGAAATAAAACTCAACGATGTATTAAATGCAAGAAGGAGTCTAAGGAAAAAGAAAGTCTTCTTTATTGAGATCCAGCGAAAGAATATTTGACACCAAGGCAAGAAAAGATTATTAGTCGTTTCCTTTTGGATACATAAGTCAGGTTTTTGACAACTGGCGGCAACAGATTTGGCAAACTTCAAAAGGCTGGAGTTCGGCTGCTTAGAAACGACTTTAAAGGGTCTCAAGGTATCTCTCTGATGTTTTGTATCAAGGAGATGTTTGATGATTGCAGTATTTTGAGCCTTTCTCTTGTTCTGAGGTTTTTGGAACATGTTTAAAAAATTTCCTTTCTGTTCGGACAATGTAGCTGCTTTGGCAGGTGCACGTACGTTTGTAAATACAGTTGACGGTAACATGGAAGGAGTGCTTGTCGACCGTCGATTGAGTTACTGAACATGTTGTTTTATAGAGAATTAGATGTTCGGTCGCCGGATAAGTTCTGGCTAGTGCACTATTCTGTCTCCTGTTGATTATGTGTGCGACATCATCACCTTTGAAGTCAAGATTTATAGATACTGGCTTTTTAATGACCGTAATTATTTCCGTCTTGTTTTTTCGGGCATTATTGAAACGTTTTGGCAGGCGGATCGCGTGCTGTTTATGGTTACAAACAATGAACGTTTCATCAATATATCTGCAGCATTCCATCGTTTCATTTATCGCCTGACTAAGCACCGTGTTTTCAAGATACCGCGTAAAATATCTGTCATAACTGGACCTCGTGGACTTCCCACTGCTACGCCCTCGATTCGGCGATATGTGGTGTTATTCCAGTATAATAATCTTATTTTGTCAACTGAGCTCCACTCACTATATTCCTATCAATGTTTACTCATTATATAATCACTTGTTTCTAGCCGTTTGAACAGCAAATTTATGGGAGGTCTGATAGATGAGTACGAGAAGTATTTTTTGCAGGTGTATTCGTGATTGATAACCGATGTTAGCGTAACATCAAGGTCAATTTTGCAAACGATGATTTTACAACCACTAATGTCACTTGTGCATAAATGATGCACAAGTGGACCAAGGTTGGGAGGTACAGTTTCATGGTAATCGGTAAGCAACGACTGGTTCATGTGCCATTTGTTCCCTTAAGATCCTGAAGCCCATGTGCATCATTGGTTTGGAATCAGGGTTTTCTAATCCCCCTAGGCGGGCATGTACCCACTAACCGGGTTAAAACACCTGACATCCTCTTTTCGTCCTCTCAATTTCGTAAACAACACCCTTGCCACGAGAAGGCTGTGAGTAGGACTTTCCTGACAGTGGCTGTATACATGTGGCTATGTGAGAGCATTTCGAGAGGGAGAGCGGACTCTCCCCACCCTCGGTCCTGTCAAGGCATTTATGGGCCAACTCCTTGTATGTGGAAAGCATCGTGTGCTTCATGACCAGAATAAGACAACACCTTTGTTTGTTTTTTCTACCCAGACTATATTCAATGGGTTCCGCTTCTTCTAAATACAGCCAGGTTGTTTCATCTTATTTCTGCGACTATCTTAAAAACTCATCCCGTCTCTCACATTGTTCAAACACTCCACGTGCATTTATTCGTCATTGTTTTCGGTTGTCAGAAAAAACGTCGGCTTCCAAAAAATCTCGACTTCCCAAATTCGACACTATAAATCTTCTATATGAAGACTCATCAAGTCACAGCTAAAGATCTAATTGGTTTTCTGTGGTTGGCGTTCTTTTCAATAGTCTTATTTTTCACAAGGTAGATTCGTTAAGCTTACGGTCAACTGTGGTTCTAAGGGACCGGGACTAGCTCTTCGCGGAGTTACATGTACTCAGTATCATTGAATATTTTGGATAATTTCAGTCGCTTGATTAATATTTTTATTTGTTCATCCTTTTTTTCTTTAGAGTAGTCCATCTACTGAACTGATTGTCGACAACAAATTATCAAACACCCCTGTACTTCGTCAATATAGCAGTAATAATAATTGTACATTTACTTTGTTGAGTGATGATGAGAATGAGAATGTAAATCCGCAAACAAATATTGCTACCGATAAATCCCTAAACTTCAATGATGATGTAAACACTAATGATGGAGACGAACCAGGAGTGAAGTTTAAAAAAGTTGAAAGCGAATGGAGTTTACCATTTACGGTAGTCACCGATATTAATGTGAGTACATGTGTAATGTTCACTCCCCTCTTCATCGCCAATCATATTTATCTGGATAGCCAGGATTTTTTTGTACTATTGATATATTGTGGAATATGTGTACAAACCTAGGTAGAGATAGTTGACATGATTTGGCTTTAATCTAGAAAACCAATAAGCAAACTGAACAACTGTTTTTTCTTAGTATGTAATCTTTAAGTAGTGTACATATATTATGCTTTGGTGGCCAGTCAATGTCTCATCCTAAACGGATTGGTATACTAAAAAGAGCCTTTGCTTCAGTTTCAAACAATCGCCAAGACGAGTCAGGTTCAAATAGTATATGAGCCATAACTAGAAAGAAATCTGTTTAGGGTGGTCTAAGGCGTTACCTGAATTAGCTGATAATAGGAACCAATAGCATTTCTGTTGTAGTTTTCTTTTATTGAGGTCTTCATAAGATTCAGGGAAGTTTTTTATCTAGGAGAATTCTCTCAAACTGTTTTCTTAGAACTGAATTGTCTCTGTGATTGAAATAAGATATATATATATATATCGTACATATTCTATCTCTTCATGGTTCTAACGTGAGCTACTTCATATTTCCTGTACGTTTAATCATAACTGTCAGCCATTTACTTCCTGACATGAAAACATGAACTGAGATGTGATATAAAGTGTGTTCTGGGTGGGCAGTTGCAGAGTGAGTTCACTTTACAGTTTAATGTCGAAGTATTTACGTAACAATATTTGTACATATTCATAGTGATGTTAGATAGTAATCAAATGAATTCATTTTTATTTCGATTAATCAGTCAAACAGTGATGCAGATCCACACCAACCTAGATGTAAATGCCGAGGAACATGTCAAGCACGTTGTAGTTGTAAACGTTCCGGTCGTCCGTGTGTCCCATCACATTGTCACTGTGTATTAGGTCTGTGCAAAAATCGTTCAGACTCATCATCGCAAAACAGTGAAATAGCCAGTTCAGTCGAAAATTCTGCAACTGTTATGGGACCACCATCTGGATTACCCGTTATATTACGTCCCAAACGTAGAACTCGTGCATTACAATTAAATTTGCCTGAAGAACAACAGGATAAACATATGACTCACACACTGATGAATGAAACGTATGATTTAAACAAACAACAAACTTGTACATCCGTATCAGAAATTAATGATAATGATGATCTACAATCTCCAACTGACAATTCACAACTATCTGATGGCGGGTCACTTCGTTATTTATGGCCTAAAAATCGTTTATCTTATTTTCCCAGTCCACTATTGCGTTCAGACAGATAGACGTTTTCTACCGGCCAAAAATCTCCCAGAAATGTGCTTCACTGTCCTGGCTGCATTGGTTTCCTTTCTTCGTTTAAAACACTTGTACGTGGTTTCTGTGTATGTACACTATTATTTTATCTCTTTTCACTTCTATTCAGTTTATGTATATATTTGTTGCTTACGATAGAACCAGTAGAATTACATTGATTTGTGTGTTGTGTTTTGCTTATTTATTTTTCTCAATCGTAGTCTATTTCATTATGTATATTTTAGCTTCAATATCGTGATTTGTTGTTCATAAAATAATAAATACACTAAAACAATCGTTATGAAACCGTTCCTGGTTTCCTCTTGTAATTCCACATTGTTTTTCTATTTTTTCCCGAAGCGCATACAGGACCCTAGTGTAGTCATTCATTTGACATCACCTCGCCAAAATGGAGAGCTGACAAGGTACATGCTCCGTTTATCTGGCGACCCGGCGGCTAGTTCTCGTGGACTGAGGAGTGTAGGCCTAGCACTAAGTACGAGGGTAGAACAGACACTGCGAGAATGGTCCACCAGTGTCCGCACGTCCGACCGTTCGCCATGTGCGGTACTCAAAAACTGGTCGCCCTGACCTTCGTGTTGGTTGACAATCGTCTTGAGTTGCAAATGTTCCTCAGTTGTAAATATGCTGCTCTTGCTTTACCGATCCGCGCTTTCACATCTGCATCAGATCCACCAGATCATCAATGATGCTGCCTATATATGTAAACGTTTTTACATCTTCCATATCTTCTCGGTCAATTTTGACTAGATTGGTGCATGCTGTTTTGTATCGGATAACCTTCGGACGAGTTTGTCAATTTCTTCAAGTGCAATTTCGCAGTTTGATCCACCATAGGAATTCCGTATGATAGTGACACGCCGTAGTATCGAAGAAGCTTCCATAGTGTTGTTCTGTCTACACTATCAAATGCTTTTTCGTAGTCAAAGGAGTTGACGAAGAGTTATGAATTCCACTCACTAAAAAAACTCACGATTTCAATAGAAGACATGACAACCGACAGAGGGGTTGAGGTTATCAGATCACCACCTAGCTGTGACCAAGATGAATCTGAAGCTAAAGAAACGTTTGACAACTAAAGAAGGACAATTACAAATCTACGCCTGTAGCTCTTATAGGGTTACTGCCGGTCCCAAGCCCGGGTAAAGGAGGATGGTTGGGCATGGGGTTAGCGTCCCCATCCCGTAGAAAACTAACTCGCTAAAAAACGCTTATCAGAAAAAAATCATTCAAACCATTTAAACTCTGCCCTGGGAGTTAGAAGGTGTTCATTTAGAAGAATTATGACGCTTCATGGTGAAAGCCGAGTTCCTTCGGAAGCCACGAGGCCGATGCCCCATCTGACAACCAGAGCAAAACATTTTATAGGTACATGGAACGTTCGAACAATGTGGGAGACCGGGAAGACCAGTCAAATAGCAATGGAAATGAGGAGATACAACTTGGCAGTACTGGGAATCAGCGAAACCCACTGGACCCAAACTGGACAGAAAAGGCTAGCTACTCAATGCTACATGGATCTCACTGGACTACACTACAGAGAACCAAATAGATCATATTTGCATCAACGAAAAATTCCGAAGGACAATGGAAGATGTGAGAACCAGAAGAGGTGCTGACGTAGCTTCAGATCACCACCTACTTGTAGCCAATTTAAAACTGGAGCTAAAAAAGAGCTGGACACGTGGACAAACAGCACTACAAAGGTTCAATACAGCCTTCCTTCGAGATACTGACAGACTCAATGAATTCAAGATAGCTCTCAACAACAGGTTCCAAGCCTTACAAGATCTACTGAAAGAAGAAGAAACTACTATGGAGGACAACTGGAAAGGCATCAAGGAAGCATTAACTTCAACGTGTCAAGAGGTTCTGAGCCTAAAGAAACACCATCATAAGGAGTGGATCTCTATAGAAACTCTGGACAAGATCAAAGAAAGAAGGAACAAGAAGGCAGCAATTAACAACAACCGAACACGAGCAGAGAAAGTCCAAGCACAAGCTGAATACATAGAAGCAAACAAGCAAGTGAAGAGGAGCATTAGAACCGACAAGAAGAAGTACGTGGAAGAACTGGCAACGACGGCAGAAAAAGCTGCTAGAGAAGGAAATATGAAACAGCTTTACGATACAACGAAGAAACTATCAGGGAAATACAGTAAACCAGAGAGGCCGGTCAAAGACAAAGAAGGCAAGCCAATCACTGAAATTCAACAACAGCGTAACAGATGGGTAGAATACTTCGAAGAGCTCGTGAATAGACCGGCTCCAATGAATCCACCGGACATCGAAGCAGCACACACAGATCTTCCTATAGATGTCAACCCACCAACTACGGAAGAAATTAGAATGGCCGTCAGACAAATCAAGACCGGGAAAGCAGCAGGACCCGACAACATACCAGCTGAAGCACTGAAGTCAGACATCGAAGTAAATACAAGCATGCTTTACCTTCTATTCAAAAAGATTTGGGAGGAGGAACAAGTGCCGATGGACTGGAAAGAAGGACACCTCGTCAAGATTCCAAAGAAAGGAGATCTGAGCAAATGTGAAAACTACAGGGGCATCACACTACTGTCAATACCAGGGAAGATCTTCAACAGAGTGTTTCTGAACCGGATGAAGGATGCAGTAGACGCCCAACTTCGAGATCAACAAGCTGGATTCCGTAAGGATCGGTCGTGCACAGACCAAATTGCAACACTACGGATCATCGTCGAACAATCAGTTGAGTGAAACTCATCACTATACATCAACTCCATTGATTATGAAAAGGCATTCGACAGTGTAGATAGGAAGACATTATGGAAACTTCTTCGACACTACGGAGTTCCTGAGAAGATTGTCAATACTATCCGGAACTCATACGACGGACTACAGTGCAAAGTCGTGCATGGAGGACAGCTGACAGGTGCATTCCAAGTAAGAACCGGAGTCAGACAAGGCTGTTTACTCTCCCAGGATGACCGCTGTGGAATTGTCTCAGAACCTTGTAGCGTAATACTTTTGGAACGATAATTCTGTCACCAAACATAATACATGAGTCAACCATCATAAGTGAGTCCGGTCGGCGAAAATATTGTAGCATTTCTCCTTGAAAACGACGGTTCGGCCACTTGGTGAGAAGATAACCACTAACCTCTCTTAAAGTCTTGTCATTTTCTGTGGCTTCTTTGATGGCCTTGAAAGTAACTGGTAAACCATCAACTGCGTCTTCCAAAACTCGATGTACTTCTGTTTCCGGCTCGATTGCTGCCACCAAAGTGTCTTCTTTCTGTTTTACTTGTGAACCAATCAGTCTAGATAAAGCGTCAGCTTGTCCAAAATCAGTAGTGGGCTGGTACTTGATCTTGAAGTCATAACCCAAGAGTGTATTTCTCTAACGTTGCAGTCTGTTAGCAGTGTATACAGGTATACCTTCCTTCGCCCCAAAGCTGGCTAGTAATGGTTTATGGTTAGTTAATAGGGTGAATTGACGTCCAAATATCATCTTGTGAAATTTCTTGACACCGAAGATAACCGACAATGATTCCTTCTCGATCTGACTATAGTTACATTCTGCTGACGTTAACGATCTAGCCGCATGTGATATCGCTTGCTCGGATCCATCTGGCATGATGTGAGAAATAATTGCTCCAATGCAGTAGTTTGAAGCGTCTGATGCCACTACGATGGGTAAAGATGGATTGTAATCGGTGAGCAGCAGATCCGAGACTAGTACTTTCTTGATTTCATCGAAAGCGGTTTGGCAAGTTGCAGACCAACTCCATTTTACATTCTTCACCAGAAGGTTATTCAGGGAGCCACGTAATTGATGAAGGTTTGCAATAAAAGCTCCATAATGACTAAATAGTCCCAAGAAGGATCGTAGTGTGAGGACATCCGTCGGTCTGGGCATGGTTTTCACTGCCTGGGTATTCTTCGAATCTGGTCTTCTTCCATCTTTGTCGACTATAAACCCTAGGTAGAGTACTTTTTGCATACAGAAGTCACATTTCTCTGGACGAAGTCGAAGTCCATATTCGGCTATTCGCGTTAGCACCTGATTGAGCTTCTTTTCTAAGTCTACTCTATCTACTCCCATAATTATTATATCACCTAGGTAAGCTGCAGTACCTGAAACATCTTGTAGCATAGTATCAATTGTTTGTTGAAATATGGATGGGGCTGTCTTGGCGCCGAAGGGTCACTATAAAACAAATCTTCATACTTCTTAAACCACGACTCAAAGGTTACACCTGCTACACCATCAATATTAAATTCATGGATGGCGTTAATGACTGAATCAGTATGTGATACTTGAGATTCACTAGAACCAGGGTTTTTCTCGGACAGGCAGAATTTCTGCATCAGGGTTTCCATGATTCTAATTTGGGACTCTTCAAACCTCTTTTCTTGACGCACCATATAGGCTTCTAATTGCTCCAAGGAAATATTCATTGTAGTTTTCATCCCCGTCGCCACTGATACGTCTCGTCGATGAAACGCTATATACGATTCCTAAGCTATCTGGTAACCCTCAGACTAGAACTACACAGCGACTTGAACACCAGAGAGAAGACACAAGTATGAGAGAAAATACTTTATCCAAAGGTTCATTCTTGTACAGAAAATCAAGAGTATTTATAGATGTTGGCGTCTGTTAAATCAACATCATATTTCAGCCAATCCGTTAACGTCATATTATGCAACCGACCAATAATAGCACACCAGCTGGAATTCTCGAACGTTTCATCGTACATCGATTGACTAAGATCCTTCGGCTCCTTTTGGGCCTCTGGAGGCTCCATTGAACTTCTCCGAAAGCCGACTCAACAGAAGCATAAGGAAATTTCAAAAGACAAGGTATGAACAAGCTTTATATTTTATATGAACTAATGACTAAAATTCTTTCGAGGATTATATATAAAGCGATAAAATTTACCAGAGAAAGTTTCGTAACAAGGTGAAATAGTAATAGATGGGGTAGTGAATCTTCATCGGCTGAAATGGTTTGGACATGTATCACGTATACCAAACGATCACCCACCGCCACGTGTGATTTGGATCAGTGTAGGACTGAGTTGAGCGAAAGTTACGAGTGGGGTCAGGCCAAATGTAGCATCAGTCTATGAAGTCACTAACTATGATGTCTTATGAAGTGTTATTTTATTAATACTACTGTTACTTTGAATTATTTGCTGTGGATCATATTTATTCCATTGTGTTAATAGGCAATGTGGCAACTTAGATCGATGGACATTTGTGTCAAGTCCTATGGTGTTTATCATGATTAAATGACTGACTATTGATAAGTGTGATGTATGAATTATTTCTATAGAATGAAATTCACAATGGACAAATTTACGCAACTATTATATTTACATCTTTGACTGATAAACAATATGTAAATTTCGTGGTTACTCCCTTTCATAACTTTTCAAAGTGTAAAACATTCAATATTCGATTATTAAAATTAATCTTAAATTAATCGCCAATAGTGAAACGAAAATTTTAGATTCTTGAGAAAACCCACTACTTACCAAGAAGTTCCGGTTGCGTTGTAGTTTTAATACTGCTCAAATTCGAAATACAGTTAGCGTTGTTATTAACGTCGATTTCGGTATGAATTTTTAATGGTATCTTTTCAACTACTTCTTCCGTATCGAAACATGTAGTGTCTGATTGAAATTCAGCTAGGAAATCAGACGACTGTTTATAAGCATGTTCCAAATCTTCATTTGTAATCTGCAATTGTGTTAAACGAGAAGGGAAACAAAACAAATGAAATCAATTATGTCAAACAATAAAGATTTCTTATAACTTAACACTTCACTTTAAATGGTCATTAAATGTTAATTAAGGTGATTTAACCTTATAAATGTATGTGAGTTCCAATCACACAGGATTGTAAACACGCTATGCTGATATATGGGGCTAACTAGAACAATAAGTGAGGTAGGTTTTCTTCCTGATCATCTCTACAAGTACCACACCTTGATACAGAGATTTTGATACGAAAATCAAAAGAATAACAGATTAAGGGGAAGGATAAGCAAAGTGATAAATATATCCGAAAAGTCATTTCACCACGAACTTACTTTATTCGACTCATTATAAAGTTTTATCAATCCAGTTAGGATATCTTCCAATTCTTGAATATAACTAATCAGTTCAGGATATTCATTGAATTTATCTCTAACAAATTGATTTAAGGAGCTGTAATTATATTTTTTTTGTTAAAATAAATATCAGAAATTACTTGAGAATTGATTCGATTTTTTGGAGTTCAGAAATTACTGTATCATGTAAATGATCAGTATCGAAACGATTTTTGTATAATTCATTCATTTGTTCGACAATATGATCTAATTCTGCACAAAGCAGAAGCTTCTCACTCTATAATAAATGATTATTTTTAAAATAAATACATGTATTAGTTAAAAATCTATTTATTACGGCAATAGGATGGGGATAAAGCGTTAAACAATTGAGTCTCTGCTAGGTTTGAAGCTTCACGAGTTCATTAATCTGCGTACGAGAACGAGACTCAGTGACCAAAACCAGTAATCTAGCTATTGATGCGTTCCAGCTCCGCTATCTAGAAGGAGGAGTCCAAGCTTGGTATGGGAAATATATTTTGCAAACAGCCAGAAAACGAGAGAGAGCCCACAAACACACTTTAAAACGTATATATATATAGCATCAAATCCCTTTACGTTTGTTATATCAAATAGAATAACCAAGTTTAATTTTCTTAAACTGTCACTGGCTTTTACGTCAATGAACTTTCACAGGCGTGAACTCAGTGACATCACAGTGTATTAGTGCTTAAAGTAGGCGAACAGCTAAACAATTGTCATGACAGAAACGAATCATTGTTTCTGAGGCGTTGCTCTATTTGTCTAATTAGAAAGTAACAGAACCGTCAAAAATTTCAGAAGTCAACTTCTTACACATAACTGGGGAAATCGATTCTTATTCGTCCGATTGACAATTTTCCCCACTCACGTTTTTATTTTTGTTTTGACCAAACCTGTCTTTAGAAGTCGGTTTTCAACTTGTTCTATTCTAGGTGAAGCCGTTATCTTCGAACCTGCCCAGGATGATTATGTCGATTTAAGTATCGACGGAATACGCGTCGCCAATCCCCTACTGTTGAAAATACCAGCAGAGTTTTGTTTTCAAGCCCTATTCAATATTAAAATAGTTCCTGCTAATAAACTGATCTTATATATGCAGTGCTTTTGACATGGTAACATGAGTATTAACGTGGATCGAATACATCAGTTTATAATACATAAAAGTATTCGAATTAATGTACTAACCAAAAATTCCCGGAATATTGAAATTCATAACAAACAAAAAGATGAACACAAATGAATGTATTAGGTTTTTGAATTCTTATTCAGTGCGCAATCAGGTGCAAAGAAATCATTAGTCTGTAAAAAATATCACAACCTCTACGGCTTTAATGGACATTCAGATTCCCCCAATCTGTTATACATCTTGTCCCCATCATGTGTCTTTCCAGTTGTGTATTGGGTACAGACTCTGTATGATCCAGAGTGCACTCATAAGTATTATAATTAACAACCGAATTTGGAACTAACACATATGGGTCCTTTTAACGTATTCAGTTGCCGTAACTGGCTTGCATGTGATTTATATATTTATTGACCTGTTTTAGCAAATCTTCCATAAATCGTGGAAAAGGAGTTCTTGTGCGAAGATTGTTTTGCTCAGACTATTTCACTATGGTTTCTTCTGTGTACAGTCTGAGGATTCTGCACTGAAGGGCTTTAGCTGTTCTGCTCCCCGGATTTTGCAGTAGTATTAGAAACGACGTTTGTTTCCAAGGTCCTTGAATTTCTTCCTTGCACATGGGAATGTGAGCAGCTTTAAAGTTGTGCTCAGTTTTTCTCACTTAGATTCCGTCATTTGTAAATTTTTTAGACAGATAACTCACTAATATCATGGATGGTGATCAACCATGGCCGATCATAAGAAGCTCATGGTGCTCTAAATTCTTGTGAGTCGCTCAATGTTTTGTCTTCTCACTTCCATTTTTTTTCAATCTTAAACTCTTGCATATTCTTTGATTTGCTTCCTATTATTACCGTCTCCAAACCACATAAACGTTTGCGATTTTCTTCATTGCACTGTGATATACTGAATGGATATTTAACCCACAATACAGAAGCCTTAACCATCTGATTTGCTTGTAACATAGAACAAGTGGAGACAGTGTATTCCAACAAGAAGCTATGAATGAAGCAATATTCATACACACCACAAACGTAAGAGAGTCTAACATCACAAAGGAGATAACTCCGATCCACCCATCTATGCGAAGCAGAACATTTTATTTAATTACGACTCATTATGGTCAGTTGAAACGTCACGAACCAGTGGTATTGATACTAATTTATTATGCAAACTACCTATTTAAATCGTGTTTGTGACGTTGAATTGGTTTCACTTCCTACGGACTAATCGTATTATAAGCAAAACTGGACATTTTGCTAGAAATGAGGCGTGCTAATGAGCCTATAAAATCAATAAAGTTAAAAATGAGCTGAAATAGTTTCGACAAAACGGTAGATGTCCATTTGTTTATCAGAAATGTTTTTCAGAACTGCATTTTAAAACCACACATAATCCTATACTTTCAGCTTATTTTTGAACCTCCTCCCTTTATGCAGTTGTTTGTCCATTCAAACCATATTTACATTTTTTCTTCAACCTATTAGAATGCTCTTGCTTGAAAAGTACCGTAATAATAGGAACTTAAATTAAGTAGTCACACCTTCACTATTTCACCACGAATGACTCTCTTTCAATAGGCATGAACTTCGTCTATCTTTTTTCTTTTCCTTCCTTTGTCTTAATCTCTTTTCCAGCCCCCTCAAGATATGCCGCCGATAAAGCATATGGAACAGCTGATTTCGTTCTGCGCCACCATTATTACCTCATATGTTCCAGAGAGAAATAAGGTCACGGTTTATAGAAGATCTCAAGCTTTCATGGATATATAGAGGCATTGGACTCCAACTATCCAATCCTTAAAGTTGAACACGATACAATCGGGAAAATAGATATTCATTATTTAACGCGGAGAAAATCCCAACGATGGGAAATGCGGGAAGACTGAACTGAATTAATTCGTATTGAACGGATAGCATGGCTTGGTCTGACAGGCTGGTTCATATTGAATACTACCTCATAACTTTTACTCATATCAAATACATTCTTCTATCTCCAGCTTAAGTGTGTTCATCATATATTGATGATTGTTAAGATGCGATCAGGTGGTGTAGATAATAATGTGACTTCAAATTATAACACCCGAGAATGGAAAGTTTACGACTAGTAATAATTGAAATGGAAACTTTGTTGGGCTTAGTTATAGAATCGTGTTTTAATGACTTCAACTTTCCAACTGAAATGGTGGACTTGAATCTGCCAGTGTCAACAATAAAGTCATGAATAGCAACATTGGATAAATACATTCGTCTTTGAAAATGAAGTGCATTACTGGAAGTAGAAAATATGGGTAGCGTACGTTTATTAGAATCATCCAAATTCATAGGATCCGACTCACAAATATTGGTATTATTCATGGCGAAACGAGCAGTAGTTTTACAAACCGACTTGATGTGTCCCATTTTATCACACTTAAAGCATTTAGCATAACGAGAGGCACATGAAACACGTGGTAAAAATTTATCACAGGATAAATATTTACCTAACCAGTACTCACTTATGTTATCCGTGTTTTCACAAGGATGAGGATGGTCAGTAATTAAACTCATATTTGTATGAACTTGAGTACTCATCAGATTAGGATAACTAAGCAATGTACTGGGATTATTGATGACTTGGAGAGTAACTACATGCACTGCCTCACAAGTAATACACGCAGTTCTAGCATCGTGGAAGGAATGCTGCGGCATTTGTAATAGCTCTCTTTCCTGATTTGGTATGTTAATTCCTGCCTCTAATTGATCTTTCATCTGCACATGCAGTTGATCACCAAAATCATACTTAAGGGATAATTTCTGCAACTCAAGGGTAACTTCTCTAACCTTTTGGTTGTCCTGTAAATCGTTTTTGAAATTTCGACTTTACACAGCATTAGAAATTAGTACACTTTACATGATTTCGTATATACTATATATCATAGTATAGCAAGGGTTTAAATGAAATCAATACAATAAATATGGTAAATATATACCTTATGTGAAAGAACATTCTACAACATTGATTGTGTCATTAGTTCAAACGGCTAGAATCAAGTGATTACATAATGAGTAAACATAGTGGAGCTCAGTTGATGGAATAAGATTACTAGTTTGGGAGATGGTTGAAATAAAACTCAACGATGTATTAAATGCAAGAAGGAGTCTAAGGAAAAAGAAAGTCTTCTTTATTGAGATCCAGCGAAAGAATATTTGACACCAAGGCAAGAAAAGATTATTAGTCGTTTCCTTTTGGATACATAAGTCAGGTTTTTGACAACTGGCGGCAACAGATTTGGCAAACTTCAAAAGGCTGGAGTTCGGCTGCTTAGAAACGACTTTAAAGGGTCTCAAGGTATCTCTCTGATGTTTTGTATCAAGGAGATGTTTGATGATTGCAGTATTTTGAGCCTTTCTCTTGTTCTGAGGTTTTTGGAACATGTTTAAAAAATTTCCTTTCTGTTCGGACAATGTAGCTGCTTTGGCAGGTGCACGTACGTTTGTAAATACAGTTGACGGTAACATGGAAGGAGTGCTTGTCGACCGTCGATTGAGTTACTGAACATGTTGTTTTATAGAGAATTAGATGTTCGGTCGCCGGATAAGTTCTGGCTAGTGCACTATTCTGTCTCCTGTTGATTATGTGTGCGACATCATCACCTTTGAAGTCAAGATTTATAGATACTGGCTTTTTAATGACCGTAATTATTTCCGTCTTGTTTTTTCGGGCATTATTGAAACGTTTTGGCAGGCGGATCGCGTGCTGTTTATGGTTACAAACAATGAACGTTTCATCAATATATCTGCAGCATTCCATCGTTTCATTTATCGCCTGACTAAGCACCGTGTTTTCAAGATACCGCGTAAAATATCTGTCATAACTGGACCTCGTGGACTTCCCACTGCTACGCCCTCGATTCGGCGATATGTGGTGTTATTCCAGTATAATAATCTTATTTTGTCAACTGAGCTCCACTCACTATATTCCTATCAATGTTTACTCATTATATAATCACTTGTTTCTAGCCGTTTGAACAGCAAATTTATGGGAGGTCTGATAGATGAGTACGAGAAGTATTTTTTGCAGGTGTATTCGTGATTGATAATCGA